ACCCTCCCTAGTGTAAGGGTTCTCAGGTTAAGCTGGTGCTCATTGCTGCATTCACGTTTTGGTACTTATTTTGAAGAAGGCAAGCAGGAAGATCTGGTGAGCTACAATTTCTGGGAAAAGTCCTTGTGGAAGTCATTTTCCAACTGAGTGAAGTGCCCATTGCAGGAGTGCCCACCTGGAAGCTCTGCAGTCATGGCTACCCAGCAGTGAACTCTCATAGCTGAGCTACTAGAGGAGAATTGTAGAAATGTTTCTGCTATCAGAAATTTTATTGCAGTTTTAATGCTTTCTCACTGCAAATAAAAGATGGGAGAACTATAATTCTAACTGTGACAGCTCCGAGTTTCCTGCACCTTGTATGTAATTTGGCCTCATTCATTGTGTTTAACATTCACCTGAGGGTATACCAGAGGTAAAATACAACTTGCATTCTTCCTACATAGAAATGCAAATTTGTTCACGATTTTGATAAGCACCAACTGTTCAGAGGAGTGTGCAATTCTATGTTGACATGTTCATCTCTACAGAAGCTTTACTCAACATCTTCATTAAAACTACACTTTTTTTATAACAAAAACCCCAGTAACTTGGCCAGTTATTAGCATACATACAGCACACAAGAAAGCTTTATTTTTTATTTTCCTCCTCATTTTAAGAATCCACTGCTCCAACAGGATTTAAAGTTACAAGTCTGTATTTTTCCATATTGTTGTTCATAATATTACTCCCTGATCTATCAGACTGGTATGTCTGCTAGACCCTAACCCATTTAACCTCTGCCATGCACAAATGTTTGTAAAATCCCATTATGAAGAGCCAACTGTTTTCCCCAAAAAGGAGCAGTGAGTACCACACACAACTACACATTAAGTGACTGAAATCTCTTGAGGGACAGCCAGAACCATATTCTGAGTCATACTTGCACACAAAAACCATAACAATCCTATTAGCTTTGCAAAGCACGCCTTTTGTGTGAGTTATACCTCAGGAAAGATCCCATATTTAAGCCATAAACAGCACCTGTATCTTCCAGATTAGGGTAGAGGGATATATTTCAAGCCAATTTGAGCATGAAGTCTATCAGGACCTTACTGTTGATGAAGCAAAGCATTTCTGAAGCATAAATATAGCTTCAGACTGTTATAGCTTCCAACAAAAAGTGATTGGTATGAGCTCTACAGATACACAGGACAAAAGATGGCATTTTCAGACCGAGAGGATTCAGTCTGCTGGAAAGATAGAATATAAAAATGAAACGGAGAGTACAGCACTTGAAAGCTAAAAGGAACTGAAAAGGCAGATGAATAGCTGCTTAGAAAGCTATAACAAACCATGGAATGCAAATTGCACAAAGACAAAAGATTCAAGAACTTCAAACTAAAGTGAGCCTTGAAGAGAAAATTTATTTAATCCACAGTAAACATAGTTGGCACTGGGCTTCAAATCCTGCTCTCCTCACACAGACATGGTAGCCTCCCTGGAACATTACTGAAACAGGGGAAAACAACTTCTGCCAGTACACATGCTTTATGCTTTGATATTGTGGAGTCAATTCAAACAGACAAGAGTAAAGATGAAAAGTGGAAGCACAAATGTCAAGGTTATTCCAGTTGTCCTCTATGTGCTTCTTGGCAAAAAGCTCTAGAACCGAATGAGAGGCTTATGGAATGGGGGAAGGGAGGTGTTAATCAACTTTTTGTGGTCTTCAGCATGAAGAGCTGCCTTTTCATAAAATGGAAAAGTTTATATATCTATCTTGTTAAAAAGTTGCAATAAGGCTGAACAATTCCATTTTACTTCTCCTTTTTTTTTTAGGTGCCAGATTCTATTTTTACAACTGAGAAGCTAAGCTTCCTTTATTTCTTGAAAACTGGTCAGAGATCCTGCCCATAACTCTGAAATCTTTCATCAAGTATCAAATTGATGAGTCTCCAGAAAATATATCAATTTCAGCGAAACAGCATTTTTTCAACACAAAAATAGTTCCCTAAACCCAAATGATCGTGCACACTACAGTCCAGCTACCTGTAGTAGTGGTTACAGTCGCTGTTGGGGCACATTTTACTTCAGTTTCTTCCCTACAAATGGTGCTTTAAAGCACTACAGCTGAAGTATGGCAAAGTGTCAGCTAAAGTCCCAAGGAACCAGAGGAGGAAGTTGGCTCGTTAGAGCCCCCATGGAGCCTTCCCAAAAGGCACTGTAGCCTCAGCTGAGCTATACGTGTGGGACAAACAGACACACGTGTCTGCAGTGCTTTGTGCTTCCCAAGCTGCTCAGGCTAATACTATGTGCTTTGCAAATCGTCATGGCAACGATGTATTTCTTTACAAGGGAAAACAGGATAGTAAATAGGCATATAAACCCCCTTGTAGCTGACAATAATGTCACTTAAGCTTGCATGCCCTCCCTCAGGGACAAACAGAAGGAAGGGTGGCAGCAGCATGTGACAAATCCACACGCAGGACAAAATCCTGTTAACAGCCCTCTTGCAGACTGCTGTGCAAGGGAAGGAACCAGCACTTAAACTGCAGAACTACTCCCTGTTCATACAAGGAGTTCATTTCTCCCAGGAGGAAAGCTTGAGAGAATTAGGATTGTTCAGTCTGGAAAAGAGAAGGGTGATCTAATTGAAGTCTTCAAGGACCTGAAGGGAGCATATAAGAAAGATGCAGACGGACTATTTCCAAGGGCCTGGAGCAACAGGACAAGAGGGAATAGCTTCAAACTGACAAATAGTAGGTTTAGAGAAGAGATTAGGAAAAAAATCTTCCCTGTGAGGGTGTTGCTGCACAGAGAAGCTGTGGCTGCCCCATCTATGGAAGTGTTCCAGACCAGGCTGGATGGAGCTCTGAGCAATCTGGGCTAGTGGAAGATGTCCCTGTACATGGCAGGGGGATGGAACTAGATGATCTGTAAGGTCCCTTCCAATCCAGGCCATTCTATGATTGTAGACTAGGTTGACTAGGCTGGGGGTGTTTAGTTTGGAGAAAAGGAGGCTCAGGGGTGACCTTCTCATGGTCTACAGCTCCCTGACAGGAGGGTGTAGCCAGGTGGGGTCAGTCCGTTCTCCCAGGTAACAAGTGGACGTTCTCTTAAAGTTGTGCCAGGGGAGGTTTAGGTTAGACAATCAGAAGAATTTCATTACAGAAAGGGTGATTAGATACCGGAATGTGCTGCCCAGGGAGGTGGTGGAGTCACCATATCTGGAGGTGTTTAAGGAAGGACTGGATGAGGCACTTAGTGCCATGGTCTAGTTGACATAACAGTGTTAGGTCTTAGGTTGGACTTCATGATCTCAGAGGTCTTTTCCAACCTTAATGATTCTGTGATAAACTTCACAGATAGAGCGATCAGCATGGTGTAGCACAAGAGAAGTGTACTCGGTGAGTGCTGCTGGGTAAGGCAGTGAGTCACTTCAGCTGTCAGAACCACACAGCAGGGTTAAACACTAGTTAAAACTGGACTAAACAAATCGATGCCACCCATGTTCTCTGATGAGCTTACGACAGTCAAATTTCTTGTCTAGGCTAAAATGAGTTTAGACGCATGGGGTTCAGAGGAATTTAGACTGCCTTGCCTTGCTAGGCTGACTGCGGTGTGAGTCTATTATATGTTGCAAACAAATAACTGGGAGTGTGTCAGAGAATCCTGTGGTTTTCCTCTGTTACAGTGCTAATTTCTCAGGTGGCCTGAGGCCACATCTATGCCAGCTGGCCACTGGAAATCCACAGCACATCACTGACGTTCTAACACCACTTCCATAGCTCTTCTTTCACTTCCCATCTACACTGATACAGAATGATGGAACCATTGTCAAGTCCAAGAGAGGCAACACAATTAAATTTTCATCTAACATTTTCAATATTTTAAATGAATCTTTTTCTAACTGTTTTTTCCCCTTAGAAATATTACTTGTTCAAAGCAAACTTTACATGAGTCAGTGATTTCAGATGCTTCAAGGAATGTTTTAATGTGAGGGTGGTGAGACACTGGCACAGGTTGCCCAGGGAGGTTAGGTTGTCCTCAAACCTGGCAGTGTTCAAAGCCAGGCTGGATAAAGCCTTGAGCAACCTGCTCCCCCAGGGCAGGGGGTTGGGACTAGATGATATCTAAGGTCCATTCGAACTCCTTGACATACTATGATACTAGGCAACCACCTGAAGGATCACCTCTATGGCCTTGTACAACAAAATACCCATTTTCAGTAAGCAGAGATTTTAAAAAGAGTTCCGCTGACACATTTTCAGTAAGCAGATTTAAAAAACTCATTTTGACAAATATTCCCAATTTCCTTTCTCTCTCCATCTCAGGATCCATTTAATGTTGTAATAGCCTTAGGAGTAACACTGTATAATGTCTTTTACATTGCCAAAACAGATAAGTAAAATGCTGTCTGGGACCTGTCAGGTTCTATAGAACTTGTGTCACTTTCCCTTGTCGACATCAAATGATATGTAATAACTGTTTTATTGTACTCATCTGTCACTGAAAAATATCAACTTGATCAATTATTTCCATGTACAACTCTACTCTGGAAACAACAAAACAGGCAGAGTTCCTGGTTTGAGTATTTAATTCCTCTCTGTTTGCATATAGAGATTTCTGATTCAAAGAATCATCTGAATGACTAATTTCTCTACTGATCTTGACTGAGATTTAGGTTTGGAATGAACAAAGACCCAAAACCTGACTAAGTCTCAGTTAAATTTGTTCCCATTGAACCAGGGACAACACTCTTCCCCCTCAGTGTCAGAAGCAGCAACTGCAACTGAACAGTTCTGAAATACCTTATTTATCAACCAAGGTACTTTCCAACTAAAAAAAGGTACTATGTTCCAACACACATAAGCAGTGATGGCTTTAAAGTCCTATCCACAATTCCAAATCTCCAACAATGAACAACTATCTAGCAATCACCCCTATTCAAGCCTTAAAATCAAGGAACTCTAGCAGTTTTTTCCAGTCAGAGATGCAAATAAATCCATGGTCCATGATCCTACCTGTGGGTCAGACAGCCGAGAAATGTCAGGGTACAAGTAGAATTTTATCCCCTCGGAAGCGCCTGGTAATGTTACTCCACGAATCAGAAGAATCATCAACATGATGTAGGGGAACGTGGCTGTTACATAGACAACCTAGTGAGAAGAAACAAACATTAGAAAAATATTTCCTTCCAAATGTAGCAAAACCACCTTATTTCCACATGCATTTTGCTATTAGATAGAAAGCAAGTCCTTTTCTGAAGGAAAAGTGCTTTTGATGCCTTCTGCAAATGAGCTGTCTTCCAACCATATTCCCTTTCTGAACTATTTAGGTCCTGTAGGAAAGATCAGCTCTTTGATGGAGAGACTGGGAAGCTCTCTAAGTATATTACATACTCTCTCTTTGTGACAGGTGACCACTCTGCTATTGTGTACCTGTGCACTATATCATGTACTATTCCAAACACAGGTACAGGGAAATTAACTCATAATAGCAAGAAATTAAGTATATGTATTATGTAACAATAAATGCAATGAATTCTCAGGCACTTCATAATTCTTATACAGTTATCTCTCAAGACTGCTTTGCCTGCATGAGAAATAAACATTTCATCAAGCCTAAAGGCTAAATGCTGTGTGTATCTCCCTGTGATCCCCTGTACAGCAAAATAGAGAGATTTGCTATAAAGCCCTTATCACACAAAGCATCCTCGGGCAAAATTTCTGAGGTGCTCAAGCCCAGCAATTCCTGTTTTCACATATATGGCTACATTTTTTTCAGAAATCAGTTTGCTCTCCTCATGGGAAGCAACAGAGCTTTGCTGGAAGAAGTCATGTTTTCCAAAGGGAAGATTGAGCGGAATTGATCCCATTTTACAATGGCAAACCTCAGAGTAGTACAAAGCTATTCAAACTCAGAGATGGATTAAATGATAAATTCCATGTCACTAGAAATGTTTTTTGTAGGTGACAACCACCTGAAATCTAACTCCCCATAAAACTATATAGCTATTTCTGCCTGTGCAGAGTGGGTATAACTATCCTAACATGAGATGATACTCCTATACATGTACCTTGTGCAAGTCAAAATTACTTAACAAGCTGCAAAAAAGGAAAAAAATCATTTGGTGAAAAATACAACATCTATAGCCCTCAAAAATATGCATTTTAAATGTAAAAGTCCAATATGTGTCTCATGCCTATGCAAATGAAGGCAATACAGCAGAGAATGACCATGAAAGGATTATAAAACACATTTTTTGACTAATGAACTGAAATTTGATTTTCAGACCATGCTGACACTTAACGCCGAACACGAAATGATAAAATAATAATAAAAATGGATCATCAGCTAATGAGAACTAAAAAAGATACACAGAGAATGGACGAAGTCCTGCTCTGAGCCTTATATTGGGTGGAAAGAACGGAGCAGCCAGATAATGGTTTTCATGTTTTTATATTTAATTCTTTGTCAGATATTTTTTTCTACTTGTTTTAAATCAATAGTTGCTTTTGATAGAGGGCAGTCAGCATACATATACATTTCTTGATGTAGATGGTATTGCACCTGAATATGTGCTAGAACACTAAAGAACAACATTTCCTTGTGTTGTGCTTTATTCACTGCCCTGGTGTGCAGCACATCCCCTGCTCTCTCGCACACCCCACCACTGCCTTCAAGTGTTTTACCTGAGCAAACAGATCATAATCTTGCAGAGGCAGATTTCTTCCCAGGTTTCTTTGGGTGTATTTCCTCACTCAGCTCTGTCAAGGAAGAGCTGAAAACACTCTTCTCTATACCCCGGAGAGTCAGGTAAAGTTACCTTTGTAATCCCACAGCAGCCATGCAGGCTTGCAGAGTTAAGCTTCCCAGTTTTCTCTTTGTTTTTCCAAATGCCTCCTCCAGCCCATCCACACCTATTAACAAGTACTAGAAACACAACCTCTAACATGTGTTTTGTCATCAGGGTAGTTCTGCCTCAGCTTGAGAGGAATGAGAACTCTCATTCCCTCCTGGTTACCATGAGACTGCAAAACTGCAACTTCTCTTGCACTGCAAGGGGTGAGTGTACTGTCTTCAGAGGGGAGAGAGGGCCACTGCTTGCAGGTGGTGCTGGAGTCTCCCACTATGTTGAGTCACTTAATTCCATCGCATCCAGAGCATCAGTTATTTGATCATGCTTCCCAAGAGCTCATGAGGTGAGGGAGGATGGGGCATTTTAGAAATCAGTGCCATTATTAGTATCATCATCACATCTGTAGGCATTAAAAGTTTCCTGAATTGTTTTCTTTTCTTTCAACACATCAAACCTCTCTGAATATCAATGTGGACACAACTGTTTCTAATTACACTGCATCCTGTTCTAATTGACTTTAATTGCTTAGTATGTCAATTTGCATCCCAATGCTCAAAATGCTTTTTTTAAACCCTTGTCAGAGCAATGCCAATGTTTAAGCAGTTGGAAACAAAATAAAATTTTCTGGCATGTTAGATTTTGCATCAAGTTCTCCTCATACATTATAGCTGGAAGACAAATTTACAAAGATATTTAGACATGCAAGTATGTGGAAAGGCACCTACTGGGACATCTGACAACTTTTAACCACACTTAGGTGCTTAACTGAAAGTACAATAGGAACAAAGGTCCTGGGAATAGATATTTCATTGACTGCCACAAGCTTTAAGTATCTAAGTATAGAAAGTTAAGCACCAAGTATTGGAACTTTAAATACCAAATTGGAACATTAAGAGACTTAGATGTCTCTATCACTGAAGGTTAGTTATAAAGATATCTAGATATCCATGCAATGATTTCATGAGTGATTCCTGAGAACTGAACTAGCTGCCAGTTTGTACCTTTGCATACCTAAGTATCTCTCAAGCACAACTATGTGCAGAGGTTTAAATTTGGCTCCTGGGACTGCTGAACTTCTTGTCCTTAATGAAAAGATGCTTTCCTAAACATTCCAGCCAGATCATACCAGAGAGGTTCGAGTGAAGGTGACTTGGCTTGGGAGAATATGTAGAAGAAACACATGATAACCCTGTTGAGAATAAGGAGGAAGCCCTAGATGCAATGAATTGAGCCATAAACCCACAGAAATCTAAAAGCCCCAAACCAGATTTCTCTGGCAAGAGCTGCTACAGAACACACTAGCCTGAGGTTCACACATTACTTCACGGCAGCTTTGTAGCAGGAGAGTCATGAATAGGAAACAGTGTACTTCAGTCCTTTGGCTCATGCTGAGAACACAACTGAACTAGAATTCCACGAGCAAAATACAACTTTGAGGCTAGGAATTTGAGGGACTTCTATCCTGCAAGCTGAAATGTTCAAGCTTATTTGCACTATAATGAACCAACTGCATTTTATAAATGGAATAAAATTTCACTTGATGCTTAAAAAAACTACTGACTTGCTAATCCTTTTCCCACAAAATCCTCTATTGCTCCATTGGGCTATAAACACAAGTAGTATCAATGAAGGAATTACCAGCAATTTGCCTGAGCTCAGTATTAAAGTGGTATATGGAAAATCAGGCCTGTCCTCCATGCCCCGCTCATCCTTATTTTTCACCGAGTGTTTTCAGCCTGTTGGTTAGTCACTTAGCTTCTTTATTAGTTGACACTGTGACCATGGAGAACTAAATTGACACCACTAAGTTCATCTGATAAAAGGAGACTGCTGACAATCTTCAGAGCTCAGTGACAAATGAGGTTTGCCTTCTCAGGACAAATAAAACCATGCCCACACTGCAGTACACTCCTGGGTGAAGAAATGGCTTGGGAACCAAAATTGTGATGTGATAGGGAAACAAGGAATTTTTCACCTGCTTTAAGGGGTTGATGCAGAAAGGCATTAGCACAACTATAGGAACACAGTTATCCCAGTGTCTGGCAACTCTGATGACTGTGGAGTCACATCCAGGTACCACCAATTTGGGCACGAATTCCATCAACATTTTCAAGCTAGTTCTACATGCCACAGTCAAGCCAGACATCTTGGCTTCACTGATATTTGTCATTTTCACATATTCTAGGTTCCTAGATGCAAAATTTTCTTTTTCAATGTGATGGCATAGTGTGGAATTTTCCATACAGCATTGCTTGAAAAAGTCTTTTGCTGATGTGATACTACAGTGTCTACGGACATACAAATGACAACTGAAAAGATATTTTCCATATTGACTGGATTTACAAGGAAAATGGTATAAAAGAGTGTAAAGGAACAACAGCTGATTCACAAGGTTTAAAAAAGTATGTCAAAAGGAGGAAAAATGTTCTAGATATGCCTACATTTTAAAGTAAAAATTTCATGTGCAGAAAAAGAAACTAAAACAACCACCATAGAGAATTCCAGGTGAGTGGATTTGTATGAAGTATAATTGGGATGGGGGAGTGGGTAGAATCAGCAAAATGGCTGATTTTTCTATTTTCTCTGTGTATTTTACAGATTTCTTCAGAATCATCTTCTGTTTGTCATCTTTGTTTATCCATACAATGTTGCCCCAGAATAATCTAGTAAAGCTTCCTTAACCAGATTGCTTAGAAACTGTAGATTTTCTTCTGAATTACTACTGAATCACATGTAAGTACAGAAAGCTTCACTCAGGGCAGAGAGAAGTTTACAAACCAACAGCTAAGAAAATTTAATAAGATTTGAGAGCTCAGAAATAAGTATCAAAGAGGAAAAATTCACTGGGAATGCGAGATGGGCTGTAAAATAGGAGCTGGGAGAGGAGACTTAGTGAAGGAATACAAGAACCTTATTAAATGCGCAGTGATCACAGGAAGCAAAAGATTGTACATGAAATACTAAGAGCAGAAAGGAAAAAACACTTCTAACACCACATCATGCTGAGGTCATTGGCTGGGACAGAAAAATCTCTACCTAGCAAAGCACTGTAAGTCCTTATTTTTATCCACATGGTGGTGAAGGCAATAAATAAGTAAATAAGTTTGAGTCACATTCAAACAGTTTCCTTTATAATGAAATGAAAACTTCACTCCAAAATTCATTGAGTCAATAAAAGAAGCATTCTATTTATTTTGATTTGGCATCCGTTTTACTGAATGGCTGGAATCTCTTGAATTAAAAATGATTTAACAAGTCCAACTCATTATTTATAACCTTTATTCCCACATTAAAAAC